GATCATCTCACCACCCAGACAGCAGTACAAAGTCAGGTATCACTGTTTGATTGTGTTCGTTTATCCTAGTTTAAATATGTATGATTTATTCTATATCTCTATTCTCAGAAATTTATAATACTGTCTCTAAAACCATTCTCTAAAATCATCTGCTTTATTATTATTATTATTATTATTTTATTGTGTTTAATTTGTATTATTATAATTATTAATACTTTATTATTATTATTATTATTATTATATTATTATTATTATTATTATTATTATTATTATTATTATTATTATTATTTCATTGTGTGTTTTATTTGATTATTATTATTTGTATTACTATTATTATTTGTATTATTATTTGTATTGTTATTATTATTGTTATTATTATTATTGTTATTATTACTATTATTATTATTATTATTATTTGTATTGTTATTTTTTTTAACATATTAATGGGAAAGTGTTAAATCCGTAGGGGTTATATTGTGCTCGATGTATTTTAGGTAATCAGGTTTAATTCAAGGAAGGGAAGGGTAGCTCTAGTTCACTGGATCAAAAACTTGCCATCATCAAGACGCCACTCTTAAAAACAGACCCTGAGTCACTCCCCTCAGTCTCACAGAGCGACATTGTCCGGGGTTATCAGTGAGCAGGTTAGTCAGAGACAAGTTTTCTTTCACAGACCCTAATGGTGGTTCACTCTCTTTAGACGCGATCCAATATTGATAGCAGTGATATATACCAGGTTTGGTATATCCCGGGTATTACGAACACAGGTGTAGTAGTATACTGGCTTGCACACCTAACTCTAACACGATAACCACGATAATAATAATAATAATAATAATAATAATAATAATAATAATAATAATAATAATAATAATAATAATAATAATAATAATATCGTTATTTCTACGAGTACATGTACAAGGTATACAGTCCTAGCTGACGTCAATGACACATTACTATATACAAAGCCGTTTGTTGTGCAGAGCATTTCTAGCAAATTAGGTCAGTTTTGTCCCAGGATGCGACCAGCCGGCTAACACCTAGATACCCATTTTACTGATGGGGAACATAGACAACCTGTGTAAAGAAGCATTCCCAATCTTTCTACCCTCGCCGGGAATCGAACCTGGGCTCTCGCCGTGTGAAGCATGAGCTCTATCCACCAGATCACGGGGCACCGTCAAGAACGAGCAAAAAGGCAGCTGAGTAAATAATTATATTTCCTTCATCAGACAGCAATTAGGTAAGTACAGTATAGACAATGGATATGTACCAAGGGAAATACAAGCAAGAGACACGGAAGGTAAGTCTGCCAAGGTTGATCCACGAGTGTTCCCACATCGGTTCACAACTTTGGCAGGCTTCCTTGTCATTGGCTGGTTGAACCAAGGTGCTAGCATATCGATTGGGCCCCTTCTCATTATACTCTTAGCACCTGGTTCGCCGATTGGGAAGGCACGCCTATATGAGTGTATAACATACTCTGTAGATGAATGGTTCAGAGAACCGACATGTTGATAAATTAGACACATGTGCAACTCTTGGGTATCTTTATTGAAGAAACGTTTCGCCACACAGTGGCTTCATCAGTCCATACAAAGGAGAATCTTGAAGAACAGGAGGAGAATGAGGTAATCAGTCCCTCAACCTTGAGTCGATGTGATCAGTCCATCAATCTTGAATAGAATACGGCATACGTGCGGAGGAGCTTATAAACCGTTGGTAGGAGAGGTGCAGCAGTCATAGGCGGTGTCACATTTGTTCAATGTGGAAGTAGGTCGTGCCCAAGAATTAGGCAAGCGAAGAATTCCCAAGTATTAAGATCCCAAGAAGTTGCAGTGTCTGACAGGTTTGTAGATGAATGGTTCAGAGAACCGTTGAAGCCACTGTGTGGCGAAACGTTTCTTCAATAAAGATACCCAAGAGTTGCACATGTGTCTAATTTAATAACATACTCTAAATAAAATGTAACAGACTCACACCAGGTGTGATTGATATCAGATGTGGTTCACATCAGGTGCTGTTTATACCAGGTGTGGTGGTAGTATGAGAGACAAATTTTGGCATCAACGATCGTTGCAGTAGACAGAGCACAGTGTATAGCAATAGAGGTCACTGAAAAGTACAATGAAACATTTCCCTAGTATTGAGTACAATGAACTAGAGTCATCTGTTATACAGTATAATGAACCAGAGTCAATTAGAAAGTAATTGACCAGAGTCATCTAGTATACAGTGCAATGAACCAGAGTCATCTATATACAGTAGAATGAACCAGAGTCAACTAGTATAGAGTATAGTTAACTAGAGTCAACTAATATTGAGTATAATGAACCAGAGTCAACGAGTACGAAGTAGAATGAGCCAAAGTTCCCTAGTTTTGAGAAGTTACTCCCTCTTGTAAGTCAACAGTAAGGCTTGCATGTCTCAGTCTTGAGGCTCAGTAAATGACATTAATACTGAGTGATGTTACAAAATGAAGATAGTAAGATGTTTCCTGCACATGGAGGCGAAAGATCAAATCAACTATTATAGTAATAATCGTTTATAATACCGATAAGTTGATGAATAAGACACATGTGCGACACTTTGGCAACTTTTTTACCGATATGCTGAGGGACTAAACACCTTAATTAAGGCTAATGGATTTCTCACATAATCTTTCTCGCTCTACTGATTTTGCTGTCTCCAGTTTTAGTCAGGATTAACAATAATAAATGGTAAAAATGGCAGGTAAAAGTGAAACAGTTGAAAATTAACTAATCCTACAGAATTGCTAACAAATTATGTACAGAATCATGCCTCAAATTTTCAACGGGTTACAAATAATAATAAATATTATTTCTGTATTGAGCGTTTGGTTTATTTTGAAAAAATGTCTCCTTACAGGGTCTCAGTTACATGACCTCAATAGATTACTGAATATACTGGGAAGTGATAAACCCATACGGGCCATACAGTCTCTGGGGAAAGCAATCTGGTTCGTTCCAGAAAAAAGGGAGAACAAGTACAATGCCTTGGTTCAAGGGCCCTCTCACCAACTTCAAGGAACCTCCCAGGGTGATCATTAGATCAAAGGAATAATGTCAACAAACTGATCAGTGAGACACATATAACACCTGGGTATCTGTACAGAGAAGTTTCGACAGAACCGTAGACTTTATCACTCTAATAAATAAGCATAAGGATTTGTGCTCTACCCACATGTAACCATATCTTCAACTGCTGCATTTCACTACTTCCTCTGCTTCCAGTATACAAGTCTACAGTCTCATATCTCAGAGTGATTAAACATTCTATGGCAGCGAAACGTCTCTCAGTTAAGATAAACAGATGTTATACACCTGGGTGTTGCACATCTGCCTTGGTAATGACTGTCAGGGCTGACAGTCATTAAAATATATATATAAGGAATACAAAATAAAAACAAAGATAAAATTTACTGACAACAGAAACGAACATAAATAGAGTAAAATAAATACTATGATACCAAGGTGAAATAGCCAACATTACCTTAAAAAAAATAATATTAATATAATCTCCTCGAGGTCCCTACAGGCATCTAAGTGAATTTACAAAAAAAAAAAAAAAGGATGAAGGCTTAAGTCGAGGGCAAACTGTCAAAAATTAGGTCCAGAGTCAGCGACATATCACAACCTGGACAGAGGGAAGAAGGAGCAGTTGTAAACAATTGACTCTGGATGAGAAGAATGTGATCGATCCTCAGTCGACATAAATTCGTCTTAAAGTGACGCTGCCTGTTGAAGGAGGAGGAGCAACCACCCACTACCTGAACTCTGAATAATTTTCCAGTCTGCAGGGCCCCACTGGGCTACCCGTTTCCCAAGGACATTTCTGTAAATAAGGTCCACTAAGTTACTGCAATGCAAAAGTCTACTGCAGAGTGGATTCATTTAGATCGACACCATGCTCAGCCCTTCTAGGGTAGGGTAGGTGCCTGAGCCCGAACTTGCAGCTCACAAGACTGTCATTCCCAATAACCCCCTTGGGGCGGGGATGGCAGACCAGAGAGGCCTAGGTTCTCCCTACGAGAAGCTAGGCCTGGGGACACTTGGTCCTAAAGATGAGGAGGTACTTGTGCCTCCTCCCATGGGAGACTTAGGTCTCAGACACTCCCTAAAGGGGGAGCCAAAGCCGGGCCACCACTTGGAAAAGGCCCGGGCCGGGAGAATACCGGCGAATCTAAAAAAAAAAAAAAAAGTGGATTCATTATAGAAGCCTTTGTCTCGGTATCCGCCAGGTCATTTCCCGGGACAACATTCTTCGTGACGCACCAGTCTTAAACCACAGGGTGGACAGAAGCTTCTTGGGGAAGGAAAAGGTTTGATAGACACACACAAAAAAACGAAAACCATTGACTCTCTTTCTTGGGTCATTAAACCTTCAGGGTTCATAAACCGTAGGTCTTTTTCCAGAAGATAATCAGAACTTTGCCAGTCTTGGTGGTGAAAGAGAGAATTTATATATTCAGAAAATAAATGACAGCTAAATTTAGCTTCGTTGGTGAGGGAAAGATGTAAGGAAAAGGAAAGTTCAGAGAGGCACTGATAGATTAAATGAGCTGCGGTGAGGGAGGAAAGGAGGGAAAATTGTGAGTGCAGATAACCAATTACAGTGAGGCCGTCACAACCCCTCACCAGCTTCAGCCATAAATTCTCCAAATAAACACAGAAGATGGAGTAAGATGATCTTGCTAACCATTGAATGGCGGAATCATTCGTGGGTGACAGAGCTGATATTAATAACACTATTATTACCATTGCTTTTATTATTACCAGTATCATGAAATAATCCCGCTATTGTGAAATAATCCCACTATTACACTACTGAAACTATTGATAAGAAAATCAAAGATAATAGTAATAATAATGCTCGTAATATAAGGTTTGGCTCTTTAGATACGATGGCAGACTCAGAGTTGGATGGTGGAAGTTGGCCACACTCCGTGATCTTCATCGTATAAGAACGTGCAAGGAGTAAACCACGAGCATTTACTGCGCCGAACTGGAGCGCGTTAGACTGGCTGTCACTTGAGTGCTGAGATTTGCTATTAAAGACGTTTATTCTATCTACTTTTTGCTGATCTTACGGACAATTATCCACCTTGCAAAGAAATGATAATATAATTATGAAAATCTTTACTTATTGATAACTTGTGAGAAACATGGCAAGGAATATGGTGCAGCTGTCGTTGTTGTGTTTTATGATGGTGGTGTGGGTCTCGTCCCCAGGAGACGCATCAGTGTCGGTTTCTGACCAAGCAAAACTGGCTGTGTCATTTGATTTTTCTATGGACAGCGTGCAGGATGTCAGCTCAATCTTTAAGGACGCCCTAAAAATTCTTAAAAATCAGGACAAATCAGAAAAGGTCGAAAAATTCACAAAAAGCGCCAGACTTTTTACAAAGTTCCTGGGCACCGCTGTATCTGCTGATGCGTCAGTAGTTAGCTTTGTGTCAACATTCAATATGCCAAGCCAGTTGGAAGTTATACAAAAGCAGTGTAACAAAGTGCAAGAAGTGCTAGCTACCATGGACTTAGATCTAAACAGTATAAGGGATGAACTAAACACATCGACTGAGTTTAAGGATTGGATAACTGCTTACATAGACTTGGAACTTGATATAAGAAATGGAGAGAATAAACTGACAGAAACCAAGTCACGTCTGACTAACCTGGATGACGAAGCCGAAAAGTTAAGTGTTATGGAGAGTTTTATTAACTTCTTTGAAAATCAAGATATAGAAGAAAAGGCGAAGAAAATATACCAACTTACCGGAATTCAAGGCACAGTAACAAAAAAATCTGTTCAGTTTGTACATGCAGGAGAAAAGTTGTGATGTGTTTGAGCTGTCTCAGTTGATGTTCGTCATTGGAGACTTAATGACAAGTGCTGCCAAACAGACCATGGCATATCAGTTTCTCAAATATCAAAATATTAATTATGTTCGGGAAAAGATGATTATCTTCTCTGACTATCTGCAAGATATCCGTTACCAGTTTGATATACACGTGTGGGACTGCTATTCAAAGTTTGTCGTATATGCTGAGCAAGAGGTAAAAAAAATAGTACAGGAGAATGATATTCAGTCAAGTGAGGCACTAAGAAGTAGTGTACAAGAAAGGCTGTCTGACTTTATGCCTTGGTATGAGTGGAGAGTTGCTATATACACTGAGGATGTCCCGAAAATTATTCATACTTTATGTGGTGATATTCCCCTTAATTTGTTCATGTTGAAACAACAGTTCATGATAATTGAAAATCTTGGAAGTAATGATACCAGGAAAATATCTGTGGTATGGAAAGACAATAAAGTCAGAAGTCCAGGTTGTCAGATCGCTTCTGGATTTAACAGGACACATGATCCATGTAAATTTTGCAACGTGTGTAGCAACCATGGTATCTGCCATCATATTCCATACACCAACGATCACTTGTGTATATGTGACCAATATTACGAGGGAGACAATTGCGAGATCTACAACAATCCGGCAATAATTCACATTATCACTGACATAGTGGCTGACATGAGAATAAACTTCGCCAGCATCACGGGAGTACCCACTGTTGTTGACGTCTATGCACATATTGTGGAAATTAAACTGTTGCACGAGTTAATACTGAACGCCAATGTGTTGACACAAGCTCTAATTCAATACGAAGAAGTCTTTAGGGAAGCAGAATACATAACTTATGAATACAACAAACTGAAGACTTTCACACTGAGTAAAGAGATGTTCTTAAAGAAAATTATGAATATAGATTTCCATCGAATTCTCAGTGGTCTTGAAAGAGCAATTCTTGGTAAAGGAATTTTCATCTCGCATGACATTTTATCTGTATTTAAAAAGAAAATTATATCTGAGTTAAATCCAAGATTTGCCTGTACACAAAATTACTCTGTTGCAGTGTTAACCATGGTAAATAATTTGCTGATCATCGACGAAGTGGTAACAGAGACAAGTATTTTGGTAATGAATTGGCAAGTTCAGCATTTGGGAGCTCCAGAAGATGTCCTAGATGTTATACATAAGACACAGAAACTGGCTGAGCATCGTCGGGAAAAGTATTTCGCTCACTGGGAAGCAACATCGTGCACAGAGTTGACTGATGACGACCTCCAGGAAAAATACTGCGGCAATATTCACAGTTATTCGGGACTTCAAGTGTTCCTAAACTGTGAGAACAATAAACAACCGTCTACCTCCTCTGTCACCTGTACAAGAGTAGGCAATACTTTACAGTGGACGGAGACTCCTAATTGTCAGTACGTGTGGAGCAGCTGGAGCTCATGGGGAAGCTGCACTGTGATAAAGGCGTTAGATCCCGAACTCGCAGTAATCTCATTGGAGATATTGATACTTCGTTAAAAGACTGCAATAAAGAAGACTGCTGTCAAGAAAAGTATGTGCTAGATGATGAGATTGTAATAAAGTTGGTAGAATTACCGACAATATGTAAAGTAAAAGGACACAAGTGCAACTAATGTAATGGCTTGATAAAGCTCCGGGAGAGCGAAACGTTGCCACAATAAAATGTCACATTAGTTGCACTTGTGTCCTTTTACTTTACATAGATGATGAGATGATTCATTGTGGTAAACATGTAATATTAGTTTTGCATTCTGTCCTTCAGGGTAATAATCGATCCAGAATATCATTATATAACACGGGTTCGATCTCCACCTGTTCTGTGATTATAATATGTATATATATATAATATATATATATATATATATATATATATATATATATATATATATATATATATTATATATATATATATATATTATATATATATATATATATATGCAAAACAACCACTCTGAAAGAATAGAGAAATTCCAAGCGCTTTCGTGACTACTCACATTATCAAGGAACTATGAAAGTGAAGCATCCAAGGAAGCTATATAGGGGTCTGGCCAGCACCTCACTATCAGATCCCACAACGGTTAAACACGTGACGCGCGGCGACCCAACTTGGATAGGTCCTTTGCACAACTCACCCCCAAGCTATTCTACCCAAGAAAATTTAAAAATTATTTGTCCAGTGTATTATTAAATTCTTCCCAAATTCTATTAATTATAAATGGATCTAATTTATATAAACCAAAGGAAATATTCATATTATTGTCAAAACTGCTTTTTATGAAACAAGATTCAATTATATTCCTGTCGACCATGGACTTGCTTGATACTACTTTCTCAACTTTTTGAATATCAATTGGATGGTTAAAATCTCTTACATGAATAAATAGAGCATTGGAATCTTGTCCAGTTCTAATGCTATATTTATGTTGTTTTAATCTTAGTTCGAGATTTTTACCAGTTTGACTGTAATAAACTTTATCGCAAATTTTACAAGGAATCTTATAGACACATCCATCAGCATCTCGGGGGGAATTCTTTATCAAAAGTTTTTTTACTGTATCAAGATTTTTGAATACAACTTTAATATTAAAAGTCTTAAGAAGAGAAGGCATATCAACCAAGTTTTCATGGTAAGGGAGAACCAACATATTTTTAGTAAGACACATGTGCAACATCTGGGTATCTTTATTGTAGACGTTTCGCCATCCAGTGGCTTTATCAATACAAATTCCAGGACATAACTTGAAGACAGTAGAACTATGTACAGAAGATGAGGTAATCAGTCCCTCAACCTAGGAGTAGGTGCGAACAGCACCATAGTCGTACTGTTCGCACCTACTCCTAGGTTGAGGGACTGATTACCTCATCTTCTGTACATAGTTCTACTGTCTTCAAGTTATGTCCTGGAATTTGTATTGATAAAGCCACTGGATGGCGAAACGTCTACAATAAAGATACCCAGATGTTGCACATGTGTCTTACTCTCATCTTGTCGGTATTATATACCTTTCGTACACAACATATTTTTAGTTGAATAAGGCTGGTTGCCCCTTTTTGGATTATAAAAAGTGTTTCTAGCAACTTTAAAAGATTTATCAATTACATTTCTTGGGTATTTTAAATCATTACCTATTTCATAAATTTTGGATATTTCCTCATCTATGAACTCAGGACTACAAATTCGTAAAGCTCTCAAAAACATTGATGAGAAAACAGACAGTTTGACTATCTTGATGCGAGGAATAATAGTGGACATAGGAACAGTTATTTGTAGGTTTTCTGTAAATTTTAAATTTGAATTCATTATTACCCTTAATAATTAAAACGTCTAGAAAAGGCAATGAGTTATTTTCTTCAAACTCAACAGTAAAGTTTATAGAATGGGCTAAGCTATTTAATTTTCCAAGAAAATGGTGTATTTCTACATTTTTGGGCATAAGACACAAAATATCATCAACATATCTGTGTCTTATGCCCAAAAATGTAGATGTACACCATTTTCTTGGAAAATTAAATAGCTTAGCCCATTCTATAAACTTTACTGTTGAGTTTGAAGAAAATAACTCATTGCCTTTTCTAGATGTTTTAATTATTAAGGGTAATAATGCATTCAAATTTAAAATTTACAGAAAACCTACAAATAACTGTTCCTATGTCCACTATTATTCCTCGCATCAAGATAGAGTCAAACTGTCTGTTTTCTCATCAATGCTTTTGAGAGCTTTGCGAATTTGTAGTCCTGAGTTCATAGATGGGGAAAATACCCAAAATTAAAAATAGGTAATGTTTTTTAAATACCCAAAAAATGAAATTTGAAAATCTTTTAAATGCCCTAGAAACACTTTTTATAATCCAAAAAGGGGGCAACCCCTTTTTCAACTAAAAAATGTTGGTTCTCCCTTACCATAAAAACGGGTTGATATGCCTTTCTTTTTAAAGACTTAATATTAAAGTTGTATTAAAAAATCTTGTACAGTAAAAAAAACTTTGAAAAAAATTCCCCCCAAAATGTGTGGATGTGTCTTAAGTTCCTTTAAAATTTCGATAAAGTTTATTACAGCAAACTGGTAAAAATCTCAAACTAAATTAAAACAACATAAATTAGCATTAAAAGGAAAAGTTTCCCAATGCTCTTTTATTCATGTAAGGTTTTAACCATCCAATTTGTTTTTAAAAAAGTTGGAAAGTAGTATCAGCAAGTCCATGCGCAGGAATATAATTGAATCTTGTTTCAAAAAAAAGCGTTTTGACAATAATATGAATTTTTCCTTTGGTTTTAAAAATTTAGACCCATTTAAAATTTAATAAAATTTGGAAAAATTTTAAAAACAGGCAAATATTTTTAAATTTTCTTGGGTAAATAGCTTGGGGGGGTTTGAAAAGGACCTATCCAATTGGCTCCCCCGCACGTCACGTGTTTAACGTTGTGGGTTTGATAGTGGGGGGTGGGGCCGGCCCCTTATTAGCTTTTTGGGATGCTTCACTTTCATAGTTCCTTGAAAATGTGAGTAGTCACGAAAGCGTTGGAATTTTTCAATTCTTTCAGGTGGTTTTTTTTGCTATTTTGAAACACCTGTTCACTGTGTTTTTTCATATATATATATTATATTAATATTATATTTTATATTATAATAAATATATTTTATATATAAATATATATTAAAATTTTTTATATATATAGTAAGGTAAAGGGGTCTTTGTGGCATTTATGGATTTGGAAAAGGCGTATGACAGGGTGGAAGGGGGGGGGCAAGGGCAGATGTTGCAATTTAGGTGTGGAGGTAGGTTACTGAAAGCGTGAAGATTTTACGGGGATAGTGAGGCTCAATTTAGATATGAGGAAAGGGGAAAAATTTTTTCCCAGTAAAGAGGCCCTTAGAAAAGGGATGTGTGATGTAACCGTGGTTGTTTAATTTTTATAGATGGGGTTGTAAGGAAGTAAATGCGAGGTCTTGGCAAGAGGGGGAGTTAAAAAAATAAAGAATCACCACAAAGTGGGAGTTGTCACAGTGCTCTTTGCTGATGACACTTGCTCTTGGAGATTCGAAAAGGAAGTTTTCAGAGATGGGGGATGAATTTGGGGAGGGTGTGCAAAAGAAGAAAATTAAAAGGGGAAACAGGGAAAAAGTAAGGTTTATGGGAAACAAAAAGATTAGGTGATGAAAGATTTATTCAGATTGGAGGGAAGAGTATGGAGGAGGTGAACTATTCAGATATTTGGGAGTGGACGTGTCAGGGATGGTCATGAAAGATGAGGTGAATATAGAAATTTATGAGGGGAAAAAAAAAGTGAGTGGTGCATTAGGATCTGTGGAGACAAAGAACTTTGTCCTGGAGGCAAAGAGGGAATGTATGAAGGTATAGTTTTACCCGCTCTATATGGGGTGAAGGTGGGTGATGAAGTTCAGCGAGGGAGGCTGGAGGAGGGAGATGTCTGTCTGAGGAAAGGTGGGGTGAATTAACAGGAATTCGTAGTTTGGGAATTAGGAGGAGGTGCGGGATTACTAAAACTGTTTTCCCGGGGCTGAGGAAGGGGTTTTTGGGGGTGGTTGGAATGTAGAGAGAATGGACGAACAGAAGATTTAAAAAAGTGTTGTCTGTAGTGGAAGGAAGGGGGGGTAGGGGTCGGCCTAGGAAGGGGTTGGAGGGGGGGGGTAAAAGGAGGGTTTTTTGTGCGAGGGGCTTGCTTCCAGCAGGCTGCGTGACGTGTTTGATAGGAGGAATGGAGACAAATGGGTTTTTAATACTTGACGTGCTGTTGGATGTGAGCAAAGTAACATTTTGAAGGGATTCAGGGAAACCGGCAGGCCGGACGAGTCCTGGAGATGGGAAGTAAGTGTCTGCACTCTGAAAGGGGGGGTGTTAATGTTGCAGTTTTTTAAAAAATTGTGAAAGCACCCCTTTTGGCAAACAGTGATGGGGGGTGAAAGATGGTGAAAGTTTTTTTTTTTCGGGCCACCCTCCTTGGTGGGAATCGGCCGGGTGAAATAAAAAAAATGATATATTAGGTCGTGCCCAATAGGCAAACTTGCGATCTTGGCTTAAATAAACGTTATCTTGCTAACAGGGCAAATGAAAATTTGTGTTTGCAATAATTTTGCCAAAATCATTTGAACCTAACGAAAAAAATATTTTCACTGTGTTTGTTTTGTATTAAATTACTTAAAAATCAAAAATATATTTATTGGGTTAGGGTAAAATAAATTGTCTTTTTTATTATAAGGTTAGGTAAGTTTTCAAAGATTCTTTTGGTGCAAAATAAAAATTTTTACATTAACATTTTAAAAAAAATTACTTTAAAAGAAAAAAAAAATTTAAAAAAGGGACTTAATTTTAAATGAGTTCTTGCTAACTGACCATTTTTTACTATTGGGCACAAAATTTTTTATAATTATAATTAATAATATTATATATAATATATATATATATATTTTTAAAATTTTTATATTATATATATTAATATATTATTTTAATTATTTTTCCTTTTGCTCCTTTACTTGTGTTTTTATCCTGTAAATCTAGTTTACTCTAATT